TGTGGTAATACACACCACACGTGCTGTTCCTCGAGGCTTACAGTCAGTCGATGCACAAGAGCCCTGTATGATTCATGTAATAAACTACAGACGCAATGAGACAGCTCAGGTGTAAGATAAAGGATAATAAAAATTCATTACCTGATACCACATTTTCCCTGAGGTGCATGCAGGCGCTACAGGGCAGGTTTACACATAATTAAAAATCAAGAGTCAGAGGCATCCTGAATTCCTCCTCCAGTTTCTCTTGCTTCAACTTACTACTGTTTGAATAAGATTATGTCTTAGAAACAACCATCCGCGCCACCTGAATTCTTTTCTCTGCAACATAGTGAACAAAAACTAGCTTGGAAACCCGGTTATAACAGAGTCAGGATTATCCAGCAAGACACAACCTCAGAGGGTGTGGTGGCCCCAGTCGATTTCCTCACCTACCACTGAGCCGCACTGGCTCCCAGCACCACTCTTGGGCTTGGCCAAGACGCTCCCAAAAAGCTCCCTCCCCTTGTCATTGCCCAAGGGCACCTTTTTTTTTTTTTCCTGAATAGGAACCAGATTGACCCCATACTTTTTTTTTTTTTTTAGTATGTTTTTACTTTTTTCAAATTAATTTGAGGGTACACTTTTTAGGTTACATTGTTCTGCCTGCTAGGGTAAAGTTCCATTTGCAGAAGGTCCCCTCACCCAGAGGGTGTGCTACGTACCCTCACAATGTGCATGATGTCCACCTCATGCCCTCCCTCCTTGCCAAACGTCCTCCCTGCCCCACTTCCCTCTACTCCTGAACTGGACTATATTAGTGTTTTTTTGTTCTTAGGAACATGTAATTGTTTATATGTTGATTTCATACTAGTATGGAGTACCCTGGATATTCATCTTTCCATTCTTGTGATACTTTACTAAGAAGAATGTATTTCAACTCCATCCAGGTAAATGTAAAAGATGTAAAGTCTCCATCTTTTTAATGGCTGGTAAAATGATTTTTGTTCTGGGTAGATACCCAGTAATGGGATTGCAGGATCAAGTGGAAGGTCTACATTTAGATCTTTGAAGATTCTCCATATTTCTTTCCAAAAAGGCTGTATTAGTTTGTAATCCTACCAGCAGTGTAGAAGTGTTCTCTTCTCCCCACATCCACACCAACATCTGGTGTTTTAGAACTTTGTGATGTGGGTTAATCTTGCTGGGGTAAGGTGATATGTTAGAGTGATTTTGACCAAGGGCACCTTTTCCAGATTCTTCTTTTCTAGGAGGTTTTTTGGCTGCTCACCTTTCATCTCTAATTGTCTTTTGTTGTTGTTGTTGTTGTTGTTGTTGTTGTTGTTGTTGCCTGGGATGGAGTGCTATGCCCTCAGCCTAGCTCATAGCAACCTCAAACTCCAGGTTCAAGAGATCCTCCTGCCTCAACCTCTTAGATATCTGGGACTAAAGGCATCTGTGACAAAGCTTGACTAACTTTTCCAATTTTAGTAGAGATGGGGCCTTGCTCTTGCTCAGGCTAATCTTGAACTCCTAAGCTCAAAGAATTATTCCAGCTCAGCCTCTCAGAGTACTAGGATTACAAGCATGAGCCATTGCACCCAGCCTAATGTTATTATTCACCACCCCCTCCCCTGACATTCCTGATTGTGCTCAGATCTCAACTTCAGCCACCCCATTGTTTTGTGCCAGGTGATGGCCCCGCTTTTTCCACTTACAAGCCCTTTCCTCCTCAAGCAAGAGGGAATTCTCCATCAGATGCCTTCAGACTTTACCTGCACCATTGAGTCTCCAGGGTTTTCAGCCTGCAGCTCCCAGGGCAGATGTGGACTTGCCAGTTTCCATAATGTGTGAGCCAATTCCTCATAACAAATCTCTTTTCATCTATATACATATCTCAAATTGCTTGAAAGGAAAAACACACAGCCAGAAGCAGGCAATGAGTAATACATCTATAGAATACTTTAGCTAGACCAATGGTATTAAACTGGGTTCCCATGGAGCCCTGGGATTAAATGCAGGTGTTGCAGGGCACTGAAAAATGTATCTTCATCTCTATCTCAGACCCTGTATGAGTCAGGGTTCTCCAGAGGGACAGAACAAATAGGATGTGTATATAGATGGAAAGAGATTTGTTAAAGGAATTGCCTTACACACTGTGGAAGCTGGCAAGTGCACATCTGCCCTGGGGCTGTGGGCTGAAAACCCAAGAAAGCCAGTGGTGCAGATGAATTCTGAAGGTATCTGATAGAGAATCCTCTCTGCTAGGGGCAGCCAGCCTTCTGGTTCTGTTCAGGGCTTCAGCAGATTGGATGAGGCCCACTCATATTATAGAGGGTCATCCACTTTACCCTAAGTCCCCTGATATACATGTTAATCTTACCCCCAAACACTCTCCAAATGCATAAAATTACCCATCACAAGCCATAATTTTTCAGATCTAAAGTTAAAAGATAATACAATAAATGTTTTTTTTAAAAAGGTAGGAGACTCTCTTCTTGCCTTCAAGGTAGGGACATGTATTGTTTAAAAAGTACACAAACCAAAAAGTGCTGTGCAAGAAGAAAAAAATTTAAAACCTATATTATAAAAAATAATAATAATAAAATAAAATAATAAAAATAAATAAATAAATAAACCTATATTATTCTAATGTACCTTAAAATTAAGAATTTATGTTCCTCAAATGCCACTATTAGGTGAGTAAAAAGGCAAGCCACTGGACCAGAGGATATATGTGCAAATATATCCAATAAAGTATTTATATCTGGAAGATATTTGTAAAAGATGAGTGAATCCATAAGAAAACTAAACAGAAAAAAAAATGGGCAAATGACTTGCACAGGCATGTCACAAGAGCAGTTATCTAAGTGGCAAATAAATTTCATAATGTGCTCCTTACCTCCCACTACCAGAGGGGTCAAAATAAAAAATGCTAGCAATTCCAACCTGGAGAGGAAAGGATACTCATACAGTGGCAAGAACACAAACTGATACAACTGGGTTTGGAAAACTGCTTGGTCCATAACCAGAGAGCAGCACATTTGTATACCCTGTGACACAGGAATTCAACTTCTCTATACAAATCCAGCAAACACACAGGTATCAAAGATCTGTATAATAATGATGATAGTAACAGTTTTCATAACCAAAAATCTGGAAATAACCCAATGTCTGAGAGAATGGAGAAATTGTGGTTTGTGTCAATGAGAATAAAATGATCTATAACCACAAGCAGCACATGAATGCAGCTCACAAATACACATCTGAGTGAAGGAGGCCAACAGAAAAAGAGTAACTACTGCATGCTTCTATTTATTTATTTTTATTTATGTATTTATTTATTTGCAGTTTGGGGCTGGGGCCAGGTTTGAACCCGCCACCTCCTGTATATGGGGCCAGCACCCTACTCCTTTGAGCCACAGGCACTGCCCCATGCTTCTATTTATTAAAAAAAAAACAAAAAACAGTTGAAAAGCAGGGAAAGATATATCTATGGTATTAAAAGTCAGGAGCAAGTCCAGCCTTGACAGAGGATGGGTATAGACTACAGATGCTCTGGAAGTGTTCTTATTTCTGGCCTAGTCATGAGGTTCATGGGTGAAAATACTTTATGAAAATACAATAAACTCTCTATTAAAGATTTGTGCATTTTTCTAAATATATGTTATACTGATTTTTTTTGCAAAATTATCAACAGAAGCATTATTTAAGAGTACAGGATAGTAAATGATCAGTTAACTAAGGAAAAAAAGACAACAGAAAGTCTTTCTAAATTGAAGGTAGTTTACTACGATTGCTTCCTTAAACCCAGACGGCCTGTCATTCTGTCATGAAGCAGTTACAGTGTGAAGCAAAATTGAATTAATTTGCATACAAACAGTAGGCAAGGTTGGCTGGGCATCATATGTTGGTTCTCCTGACTGATGCTGACAGGTGAGTTAATGTACTTCTCAGTAACTCTATTTTACTCTGTTTTATTTATTTTAATAAGGCAACAAAACAACATTAATTATTTAGAAATAAATTTTCCTAGGGATAAGAAAGTCTTCAGTGGACTTAATTTTTAAATGACACTCACAAATCACCTAATCATTTTATTCTGACTTGTGCCAAGGATGAAAATACCTGTCTATCTACTATTTCAGCAAGTCTAGTTCATTCTATATGTAAAAGGAGATCAAGTTAGATACCAAAACCCCAGAGAAGGATAAGGAAAAACTCATGACCCTTAAAGAAAACTTTATGATGTCTCAGACCTCCAGGAAAATCAATAGATATGCCAAAAAAATTCAAATTCAGAGATTTGCCACATATTTAATACAATGTATTTTATTATATTGTGTGATAAAATATGCATAACATAAAGTTTACTGTCTCATCCATGTGACTAGGTACAGTGACATTGTTGTGCAACCGCCTTCCACCATCATCTCCAAAACTTTTCCATGAAACTCTGTCCCCACTAAACACTGACTCTTCATACCCCTCCTCCCAGTCCCAGCAACCACCATTTTACTTTCTATTTCAGAATCTGACTCTTCTAGAAACCTCATGTAAATGGAATTATACCATATTTGTGTTTTTGTGACTAGCTTCTTCCACTTCGCATAATGTCCTGGAGGTTTATCACGATTTTAGCACGTCACAATTCCATGCTTTTTTAAGGAAGAATAATGTTCTGTTGTATGGAGAGACCACATTTTGTTTATGGATTCATCTACCAATGGACACTTCTGTTATTTTCACCTTTTAGTTGTTGTGACACATTTTTAATTTGACATTTATTGTGATCAAATAAAGATGACACTCCTCCCCTCAAAAGGTGGGATTGACCCTCCATCCCTGCCCTCCCCCACCCCCGGCCCTACTTACCTCCCCTTCCCTCCTCGTCTTCCCCTTTCCTTCCCAGCACTGCCACCCTCGGGGCTGGGAAGGGCTGCTCTCGGACTCTAGGGAGGAGTGGACGAGGCAGGAGAGGGAGGTTGCACCTTCCCAACTCCACACTTGTGATAGTGCTGGGCTTCCGGACCCACACAGACCCCTTATTCCCGCCCGCAGCCACCTTGTCATGCTGCCCAAAGTGGAAACGGAAGCCCTGGGACTGGCTCGATCGCATGGGGAACAGGGCCAGATGCCGGAAAACATGCAAGTGTCTCAATTTAAAATGGTGAATTACTCCTATGATGAAGATCTTGAAGAGCTTTGTCCTGTGTGTGGAGATAAAGTGTCTAGGCACCATTATGGGCTCCTCACCTGTGAGAGCTGCAAGGGATTTTTTAAGCGAACAGTCCAAAATAATAAAAGGTACACATGTATAGAAAACCAGAACTGCCAAATTGACAAAACCCAGAGAAAACGTTGTCCTTACTGTCGATTTCAGAAACGTCTAAGTGTTGGAATGAAGCTAGAAGCGGTAAGGGCTGACTGAATGCGTGGAGGAAGAAATAAGTTTGGGCCCATGTACAAGAGAGACAGAGCCCTGAAGCAACAGAAAAAAGCCCTCATCCGAGTCAATGGACTTAAGCTAGAAGCCATGTCTCAGGTGATCCAAGCTATGCCCTCCGACCTGACCATCTCCTCGGCAATTCAGAACATCCATTCTGCCTCCAAAGGCCTACCTCTGAACCATGCTGCCTTGCCTCTTACAGACTATGACAGAAGTCCCTTTGTAACATCCCCTATTAGCATGACAATGCCCCCTCATGGCAGCCTGCAAGGTTACCAAACATATGGCCACTTTCCTAGCTGGGCCATCAAGTCTGAGTACCCAGACCCCTACACCAGCTCGCCTGAGTCAATAATGGGCTATTCCTATATGGATAGTTACCAGACAAGCTCTCCAGCAAGCATCCCACATCTGATCCTGGAACTTTTGAAGTGTGAGCCAGATGAGCCTCAAGTCCAGGCCAAAATCATGGCCTATTTGCAGCAAGAGCAGGCGAATCGAAGCAAGCACGAAAAGCTGAGCACATTTGGGCTTATGTGCAAAATGGCAGATCAGACCCTCTTCTCCATTGTTGAGTGGGCCAGGAGTAGTATCTTCTTCAGAGAACTTAAGGTTGATGACCAAATGAAGCTGCTTCAGAACTGCTGGAGTGAGCTCCTAATCCTCGACCACATTTACTGACAAGTGGTACACGGAAAGGAAGGATCAATCTTCCTGGTTACTGGGCAACAAGTGGACTACTCTATCATAGCATCACAAGCTGGGGCCACCCTCAACAACCTCATGAGTCACGCACAGGAGTTAGTGGCAAAACTTCGTTCTCTCCAGTTTGATCAACGAGAGTTTGTGTGTTTGAAATTCTTGGTGCTTTTTAGTTTAGATGTCAAAAACCTTGAGAACTTCCAGCTGGTAGAAGGTGTCCAGGAGCAAGTCAACACCGCACTGTTGGACTACACAATGTGCAACTACCCACAGCAAACAGAGAAATTTGGGCAGCTACTTCTTCGATTACCCGAAATCCGGGCCATCAGCATGCAGGCTGAAGAATACCTCTACTACAAGCACCTGAATGGGGATGTGCCCTATAATAACCTTCTCATTGAAATGTTGCATGCAAAAAGAGCCTAAGTTACAAACCCCAGGCACTCTGCTTTCAAAACATAAAGAGACTTGATGGGGGGGTGGGGGGGAGAACAACAGGAAGGAAAATAAAAGTACTCTGAACTGCTCCAAGCAACACTAATTAAAAAACTTAGTTTAAAGATGTTGAATTTAAAAAGGCATAATAATCAAATACTTAATGGCAAATAAATGATGTATCAGGGTATTTGTATTGCAAACTGTGAATCAAAGGCTTCACAGCCCCAAAGGATTCCATGTAAAAGACACTGCAGTGGAGTGGATCAAACTCCGAGATGGACACCAACTCAGTGTCAGAATAAAAATGGACAGAACGATTCTTGTACATTTAAACTGATCTCCGCTATGAAGAAATTTAGGAGCTAATCTGTGTTATTAATTAGGCTTAAACATTGGGGGATTTACGCTTACAGAATTCCTCCGTGATAAAGCTGAACTGCAACAATTCTCAAGAACTCATCGGCTGTCACTACAGCAGCCCTCCCCTTCCCCCTCGAAGGCCGCAGCACCTTCCACCCTGTGATCGCAGAATCTGTGCTAAAGACCTGTGTTCAGCCAAACGCTATAGTCACTCCACCAAATTATGAAAAGCCTAATTTTGAATGTCTGTGTCTTAGGCCTGCAAACAGCTAATAAGAATAGTCTATTGCTATGTTAGCTTGCCATTTTAAATATGTTCTGAAGTTAATTTTGTCATGTGTTCTGAATGTTAACAAAAAAAGCAGGCAGTATCCCTCTTCTCTCTTATATAAGCATTAATCGATAGAAAGGGACGTGACTACAAATTTTTCAAGCAAATGCTCCATAGCTAAAGCAAGTTAGACCTTCATTTCTGCTACTCTTGTTGGAATGTGGCTTCTGCATTTTGGATTTCATAAACCTTTCTAGCAGAAAGCTTTGTTAGGATACATCAGTCTTTTTAACCATCCAAGTTTGTAGTTCTTTTAAAAATAAAACAGGAAAGCTATCTTGCTGGGATGTCAAATCATCACAGTTCTAGGGAGTTGAACACAAAATGGAAGCATGTTACACTGGGCAAAAAGAGAAAACAGGATGAGCTGATTGACTCGAGGTTCATTCTTGCTGTTTTGAACATCCCCTACACTGGG